CTTTACTTGATCATTTTCTCTTGTGAATTTTCTTTCATAAAGATGTAATTTCCTGAATGTATCAATCATATTAGAGTTTTCAAGCCAGTTCAGAAGTGAGAGTTTTTGAGCTCGCTTTGAGTCTTTTCTGTTCTGATCTAGCTCTCTGCAATAAATATCATTAAAGTCTCCTAGTATCATGACTTTTATAACTTTTTCTTTACTTTGATATTCATATATTCCTTTGATGACCTGTTGCTGAATATCTTTTCTGATTTTAGAGTCATTGTATGGTATGTATATTACTAAGACTAGTACTTTATACCTTTTGAATACAAAAAGTGCTTCTAAGTAATATGTATTTCTTCTTTTTATTTGGCTTAAATGTCTTTCCTATTTCTTACAGATTATTAGACTGACACCAGAACCTTTCTTCTTGTTTCCTTCTATATCAGACCATATACCTATATAATTATCTTGATTTCTTAGGTTGAAGTTGTTTTGTCAACCTGTTGTATTTGTTTTATTGATTCTAATCATGTCAATATTTTCTTTGCTTGCACATTCTAATAATAATTCTAATTTCATAAAGTTTCCTTTTATCCTGTTAATATTATGTGATGCTACTTTTAATATTTGAAAGTTTTCTACTGCAACTCCTTTTTTCTTCCTTTTAGAAAAACTCTCAGTGCTGAGACAGTTAGCTCCACTGTCTATTTCCATTGATTCAACTGATACACCTATTAGAAGCAATTTGGGGCTTTCCACTCCATTTGTTGAATTTTTTCTTTGAGGCTTCCTATGAGTTGTAGCATATAATCATAAGAATTTTCTAGGTCTGAGATCAGTTTTTGGATTGCAAGTATACTGCTAGATGCATTATGATTGACTTCTTTCTTTTTGCCTTCTTGTATTTCTCTTTTTTTTTTTCTCAGAGTAAGCACTTGTCTGTTTAGTTTTCTCTGTTCGCTCCATACTGCTTGTTATTTCTTTTTCACTTAGAGTAAGTCTTCTAAAAACTTCTTGATCCTGTTCCATATTTCTTTTTGTTCTGAAGCTTCTTGTATTACTTCTTCTATAAGCTTCTGGCTCTATACTATCTGTAGCTTTTCTATTTTTTATATCTGTTTCGTGTCTTGTTAAGTTTGCTTATCTTAGCTTGTTATTATAATAAGACACCAAAAATTTGAAGCAGTTTAACATGTCTTCTTCCTTTTTAAAGTAAACTGTTATGCTTCTTATATTGTTGTTGTTGGAGTTCTTGAAAATATGTAGTACTTTAGCTTCTGATCTTTTAATTTGTCTCTACAGGAGTACCTCGTTTGTATTTTCTAGCAGGTCTAGTAACCTTTTGCTAAATCTATTTCTTGTATGGAGCAAAGAGAGATTGTTAGTACCTGTTGAGATTCTTACCAGTATTTCATTCATAAATAGCAGGCACCAAATCTCATTTATTTTCTTTTTGTCAAAGATGCTTGTTTTAAACTCTACTTCTGCTCTTGTTTTGTCTGAGGCACTTTTAATCATTTCGATATACTCTACTCTTCCTAGAAAGTAGACTATTTCAAACACCTGTGTTCTTCTAGCCTAAGCTAGCAGGTTCTAGACTATAATTTTGTTGTCATTCTCTGTTAAGTTTAAATTTTTGTTGACTTGATATGTTGTAGTTTCTTTCTTTTTAGGTAGATCTTGTTTGTGTGTACTGGTTTCTACTTTTTCTCCTCTTCTTATGAAGACTTCTTTGAGTTCTTTTTCTGCTTGCTTTTCTCTCTTTCTTTTTGTTTCTTGGCCATCTTGAGTTGAGTTTCTTGTGTCTTGATTTCTTGCTGTTTTATTCAGTTCTTCTTGTTCTTCGTTTTCCTCTAATAAGAGATTAGCTTGTTCATATTCTTCTTTCTTGTTTCCTAATTTTTCTTTTGCCTCTTCATAGCCTTTAAGACAGTCAAAAGTCATTATATACCAGAGATTATCATGTTCAAACTTTTCTGAAATTTCCTTTAGATGAATATTTCTTTCTATCGACCATCTAAGTGATCTTTCTCTATGTTTCTCATTATTTCTTAAGACTTTAATAGTTGCTACTTTAGCTCTTATTGTTCCTTTTCTTTTGCATCTATCTTTGTTTGGTGCTCAGATATTTCTTTCTAGTAATGAATCTGATTCTGCAGAGAAAACATTATCTTCTGATTCCTCTGAAGTAGTATATTGTTGTCTTGTATTTGTTATACTGATTTCCTCTTCTTTAGTCTCTTGAACTTCTTTCATTTGGTTTAGTAGTTCTTTGATTTTACTGTTTTCTAGTAGTTGAATTTTCTCTACTTCTATTTTTAAGTTTGTCATATTACTTGTTATACTACTTGAATCTGATTGATATATCATCTCTATATTTGATTTACTTTCTTGTGCTCTTAATTCATTATTTGTTGCTACTATATAATTGACTTCTTGATCTAGAATGCTCTTTACTCTATCGATTCCTTCAGTTATTGCTACTCTTTCTATGACTTTTCTTTATTCTCTGGCTACTGTTACATGCTACTATCTACTTCTAATATTTCTGCTATCATCTTATCTATGTGATCTTCTAGACCTATTACTGATCTGCTACCTTCTGCTATTATTTCTTTACCATATTCTTTTGTCACTACTTCTATGAGTCTGATTGCTTTCTTTCTGTTCCACATATCTGTCTATTTTAATCTATAGTTATTAACCCTATCTATGCTCTATACTTTATTTAGTAGTTACTCTTTTTGTTTAGATTCTTTAAATCCTGTTTCTAGAAGTGACTTCACCTTTTTTCAAAATTTCCTGTGGGTTTACTCAGATTGCCTATGAACTGTCCAGTTCTGATCTTGCATGATTCGTCTCTGCTTCTTAACACGTGACATGTAATTCAGTAACGTGTTTGTTTGTTTATCTGCTTTGTATATATTTGTGTTATATAATTGATCTGTGTTTCAGGATGTTTTGGAATTCTCAGTTTTGTTTGTAAAAAATTTTCTTCATAGTAAATTTTTGATAATATCTCTTCTAGGCCACTTTTTGAGTTTGAGTTTTTTCTATTCTTCTACTTCTTTATATATAATTTTGCTCTTTGTATCTCTTTTCTTAATACACTAAAGGGTGTTGATTAGTGAGTTTAGTAATTTATCTATGTGGTAACCTTTAGCTCGATTTTGTGACTAGATAATCTACAGGAAGAGTTTTTTTGTATATGTATTCTAAGAGTTTGTTCTAATGCATATATACTTGTTTTATTAGCAGACTACTACAATACAATTGCAATTTTTTCCAAACAGGTATGGAATTAGAAGCTTCATTACTAAAGGCTAGATAGGCTTCTAATTAAACAACAATCATATTAAATATAACAAGTTTAATATGAAAATGTTGCCAAAAAGAATTGTAACTTTCATTATCTGTTAAATATGAAAAGATATCAGTTTAGAACCCTTCAGTCTTGGATCTTCATTGAGGTTGAGCTCTTATATTAGAAGATAAAAATTCTAATGAAATTGTCACATTTGTTGTTATATTGATATAGATCAGAAGATGACAAGTATCTGCTATTTTTTTTTTGAGTTTCCTGATGTTTTTTATTTGCTATAAATGCTTCCAAGTATAAAAAGTAACAAAATAATCTGTTGGTGTTAATTCATGTTTCTTATTTTATGTTGAATGTTCTTAGTACAGAGCGAAAGTGAAAGCGAAAGAATAAATATAAAAGATAATATTCATAAAATATAAATTACCAGTAATGTATATTTTATATACTGTACAGTAGCTTGTTAAAAAATTTTATTAAAATAATAATAAAATATTAATTTATTACTGTACTAAAAATTTTATGACGTAACAACAATGTTAAGTGCTTGAACGATCTTTTTTATTACTCCATCAATCACAAAATTTTACTAATAAAACTCAGCTCTTTGAAAAAAAAAGATGGTCACAGACCATCATTTTTTTTCACCGAAATGATAGCTCACTTGACTATTCTCCGCTAATTAAATTTTTTATCCCGACTAATTGATTAAGGCGCTTGAGAGCACCCTTACTCTGTTACCCGTTTAATATAATTTATATTTTAATTAACTTTTATAATGCTAAGATGGCATCGCTAATAAAATCTCTGAGAACATAACCAAATTTTAAGAACATAAATTAATTCTTTTAAAATTATATAGTTTAATTTTCTATATTGAAAACATTAAAAATTGTTTTGAAAGCATTGGTGCTTTACACCGTCCTAAACCAAAAAAAAAAAAAAAAACAGACGAACGTGATAAAGTAATAAAATACCCGTTGAATCACAGAGCGCGATATTCCGAAATTATAGTTAAGAAGTGAAACCTGGAGGAGAAGTTCTCATCGTAACTTTGGTGAATTTTGGTACTTTATGCAACCCTTTTCTGTAACCTTTGTGATTTTTACTAAAAACCGTATATTTGTCTCTTGGTTTCATTTCTGATTCTTTTGGCAATTGTAGTGCAAGCGTCTTGATAAATTTGTTCAAGGTGAAATTAATAAAATAAAATAAAATAAAACGAATTACAAATAATAATTTGGTGAATTACCAATGCTTTACATTTAACGCCTGATTCAGCAACAGCTGCGATAACTTTATCAACGGCCTTCAATCGTTTACGAACGTTTGCTTTACGCGTTTGGTTCATTGTCTCAGGCCTTTTCCTGATAAAACACAGTGATTTATGTTAAAATTTTCAAAATGAATATAATACTTTGAACTATGAAAAAGATCCAACCATAGCAAGCCTCCATAGGCGGCCATGGTAGCCCTAAAAGCGCCAAACATTATTGAAAAGTTTACAAGAAATGGTGCTCGAGAGGGAAAACCTGTAAGTAAAATTATCACATGAAAATTGTGATACGTATATACTACGTAGTACGGTAGTATTACTCAAACGTGAAATTATAAATATCAAAGTAACACAGAATAGTGTTTATTCTTTTTCCGAAACTCTTTCTAGTTGGTTTTCATTATTTTTTTTAAAAAGATGGTTGATTCAGAAATAATTCGTTTATTCGTGTTTATATCTTTACCTTTCTTAATTGACAAAGGTCGAGAATACATGAGAACACGTGAACAAAATCGCAACAATTCAGAACGACCAAAATCAATATTTGACATTTTAATTGTGTACCTTTTGATTTTTACGATTTTGATTCAAGTTTATTATGCAATTTGGTCCCCTCCTCCTAACATTTTTATATCGAGTAACATTTCACCCACCATGTCACCCAGCGTTATTCGAACCATCCTTTTGACAAAAAATTCAAAATTAACGCCCATAGATAACCTCTTGCTTGAAAAATTTTCATCCCTTGAAAACCGATTGATCTATGCAGCTTATGGACAAGAAGCTTTACTTGACTGTAATTATTGTAAGAATGTTACAGATTATTCAATGTTCATTATTCCTAATGTAGCTTGGTCTTATGTCATGATGCTTATGGTACTTGGAATTTCTACTATGGCTAGACGTAAATCACATTGGAGAATTTATGGTGTAATATTTCTTATTGGATGTGGATTTTTCGAATTATATACTTTATTATCAACTGACGTTATAAAAAATTCAGCACATGGCATTACAGAATTTTTATATAATAATACAGATTATTATAGAAGAATGGCATTTGCAGTGTTATCTTTTACAATATTTTTCATCAACAAAGCAGATAATAAATCAGATATGGATATTATACAAGAAATTAAAAGAAATCAAGAAATTATAATACATTGTAGTAAAGCAGCGAATCTTCAACGTACTGCTGTATTAAGAGATAATAATTTGAGAAAAATATTTGAAGAATTTTATAGGAGAAGGGAGACAGAAGAGAATGTTGTTGTAACGGATCAGAGTTACAAAGATGCCAGGAATAAAACGTTGAGCAAGTTGAATATGGTAGGGTTGTTAAAGGAAGCACAAACATATGTTAGTAGCATTACTGGCCTGAAAGAAGTGGAAATTGATAATGAATTAGTTACCGGAATGCAGGGCTCTGCTGCTGCAAGAACAGCTTATACTAGTAGTAGTAATAATAATTAATGGCGAGTTAAATATATTATGGCACAATCTATAATTATAATTTGTTACAAACTTTATTAGTTATATATAAAATTATATCAACATAATGAACAATTCATAATTAAGGATGAAAGTTTCGAATTCTAATTAACAGTTGATGAAAAAATAAATTTTATTCAATTTCTTTTCATGCCTCTAAATGATATCATATAAAAAACTTAACTATTGTAAGAGACTGATTGTTCTATTATGTATATTTATTATTCTTTTAATTAGCAATTCATTGGTTACTCTATATATATGTGTGTGAATAGGAGCATTTGACGAATTGATGTACAGTATTTTTAAACCCTTCTTTTTTATGATGCTCTTACTGCATTGTTCGAATGAAGATATCTCATGATATAGACCCAATTTGTTCTCAAATATAATATCTAAATCACGAGATAATTTTAATTACTTTCATTCTTTCGAATAATTATTACACCAAAATGTCGGTCGTATCATTATTTCATTCAATAATTGAATTTATTCCAAACTGATCATAAGTTTTTATAACAAAAATTTTCATATTGAAAATAAAAGCTTTTATATTTACTACTTTTAATTTCGTCAAATACCCCTATTCAACTTATATGCACATATATACGCACACCTTAAGAATTTTTTTTTTAAGTTTTATTCTTATCCAAGCAATATTTCATAGATTATAACCAGAACATTCACGACAATTAATGGAACTTATGTAAAAGAAAATTATGATTAGTGAAATGATATATACAATTTTTTCGATTTTTTTTTTTTGCAATTTTACTTACTTCTCATTAATGTTCGAACCGCGGATATTAGGTTAATAATATTTGTCTTAAGTGAGGGTCCATCTACCCCAAACCCTGTTTCGGGCTGATTACTCATTCCAACTTTTTAATTAAATTCGAAGTAGGATCAATTCATTTTTTATTTTAAAAAAAAAAAAAAACTAGCAAAAAAAATAATAATAATAATCATGGAATATAGAGTATTTACTTCGAGCAAGAAACCTATCCTCGTTCAAAACAGCCATAGCGTTTATTACCAGTATTATAACGTAGAGGATTTGTCCGATTGAGAGTACCATTGTTATTAATTACGGTCGAACTGTCTGAAATTGTCTAAAATTAATATGCGGGTTATAAAATACTTGTTATTGTATATGGCCGAATATAAATCGATATTTTTATTTTTTGTGAGCAAAATGATATTCTTACGCCAGAAAATATAAATTTGGCTCATATGCAAGAAATCTGTGTCGATATCAGATTTGTAATTACCCAATCAGATTCATGCAAGTAGAAATTGAAATTACATAGTTGATAGGGATTATCAAAAAACTTCGTTTCGACTGCTAGATATTTTATCCATTTTATATTTCAGAAAAATGCTTAACCGGAACCAATCTACTTATTCTAATCGCTATCAGCCACAACAACACTCTGTATCACCACCGCCGTTGCAACATCCAATTCCAACTCACCCGCCAATTCAAATGCGCGATCCGCCAACGTCTTCACCTTCACCACCAACACAACAACACTTACATAATGCAAACATATGGCCTCTAAATGATGCAACAACACAAATGGGAGTGGATTTTGGACGTACGGCGTTGTCAGCTGGAACCGAATATGTCGAGCAAAAGGTACTTGTCTAAATATTAACCTTCAAAAAAAACAAATTCTTATCAAATTTTATAATTTTATAATTTTATAATTTTTTGGAAAAATTTATTCCAGATTAACCGATACATCGATCTTCCCGCTCTTAAATATTATTTCAAAGTAAACAATTCATACGTAGCAAATAAAATCAAATTATTGTTATTTCCGTGGAGGCACAAAGTAAGTTGATTATACGTTTTCGACTTTATTTTTAATTTGAAAATAACATTATATTTTTTATTTATTTAGCAATGGACTCGCCTTGTAATACGATCCGAACAAAATGGTCAGTTGGAAGGATTTAAACCACCCAGAGATGATCTCAATTCACCAGATTTATATATCCCAGGTATATTATATCGTGCATATATAATTCAATGTCACGAAATTATTGGTCCTAATTTTTTTTTTTTTTCTTTTTGTAGCAATGGCTCTTGTTACATATGTATTACTCACAGGGATAGTCTCAGGAGCTCAAGGCAACAAGTGAGTTATAAAGTTTGCTCCATTCACGTTGAATGAGATGTCTAAATCCTCTTTATGGTTTTATACTTTATAGATTTCATCCAGAAGTTTTAGGAGTTAATGCTACTTCTGCATTTTTTCTTGTGTTATTAGAATTGGCATTCATTAAAGTAGGATGTTATTTGTTGAATATTACGTCGGATACTTATATATTAAATTTACTAGCATACTCTGGATATAAATTTGTTGGGTAATTCTTATTTTTATTTTATTTTTTTTACACATTTAGTGCATTACCTTAATATCATCATCTATTTGCATATGATTATACATCAGTGTTATTGTTACTTTGGCCGTTTCTTTGATAGCACCTTTTTGGTTTGTTGTTAGCACATTCGTTTACACTGCTTTCGCTAACGGGTTTTTCTTGGTATGTAAAACTATTCGATTTTTTTTTTTTTTTGTTTTCAACAAATTAGAACTCTAATATTAATTCATGTTAAAAAAAAAAAAACTTGCATATATTTCATTTCATATAGTTACGATCACTTAGACAAGTTGTATTTCCTGATGCCAGTACTGCTGTCAATATTCAATATCGTCAAAAAAGAAAAAGAGTACATTTTCTTTTTTTGGTCGCGGCTCTACAAGTTGTCTTTATGTATTTACTTGTAAGATAATTTATGGTAAAAATGGATTAGATGTTCGGATATATATCCTATTTTATATTTCTTTAATTCAGATTTTATAGATAGATGTTTATTCAGTCATCCGGTTTATAATATATGTTTTTTTATTACAATGATTTATTGTAAAATTGATTTAATAAATTTCAAACTGGTAGTTGATGTAATTTGTTTAATTAATTAATTGAAAAAAAGAAATTCTAAACAACCTACAATATTTGGAATAATATTTTTGATTTTTATATAATTATACTCTTTTTTTATCATTGTGGCAATTTGAGAATTGATTAGTCGAGCAATTAATATTCAACAGATTAGCATTAATAAATAATATCATTAAATTATTCTATGCCAAATTATCATCTAGGAATTTTTACTTAATAAATGTATTATGACTAGTAGTTTTATTACGCAATTTTTAGTAAATTTAGAGATAGTAAAAAAAAACAATTTAACTTATTTTTTTTCATTAGTTTAAAATATAATAACTAATTATATATATAGGTTGATCAATAAGTTTTGTTATATAGGTATTATTTTACCGTACAGCGCTGCATACAGTACCCCCCTGGAAAAATACCCCCTTTGAATAGTATCGGGGTACTATTCAATTGTAAATTTTGACATTTTTAAAAAGTATCCCGGTACCAGGGCTTAAACGATCATAGTAATATGCCGGACATTTACTGCGCCAATGCTTATTGTTTAAAGTGTCTTTTTTGATACATAAAAATTAGTACGATATTATAAGCTAACAATAGCAATAATTAGCGAATAGAAATTTTTAATTTTATTACTGTTCTTTAATTATTAAATATTTATACTGAAGACCGTTTGTAAAAAAAGTGTTATGTAAAAATTATTAAATTTTAATAAAATTAAAAATTATGAAAACAACGTCTCAACATGTTAGTAGAAGTTTTCGATCTAGTTGGAAAAATGAATTTTCATGGCTTGAATATGATACCCAAATTGATAGTATTTTTTGTATTTTATGTCGCATTTATAACAAAAAAAATGTATTTGCAACGAATGGTAAGTGTAAATAATTTAAATAGTTCAGACATCATGTTAATTATATAAACAAATCATTAATAATTATTTTAATAAGGATCTAAAAACTTTAGAATTAGCGCTTTCAAAGAGCATGCTAAAACTAAAGATCATACTGATTCATGTAACATTTAAATATACTACCTGAACATATTATAAGTTTAATGAAAATCATTTATTGTATGGCCAAGAATGATATTCTGTTAAATAAATTTAAGGAATTAATTCGTCTTGGTCGTGCAATTGAAGCTCCACAACTGATTTCTGAGAATCATCTAATTACCCATGAAAATAATACATGTGCATGAGAATTACTATATTCTATATCTACAACAATTGAAAAAAGTATTTGGGAAGAGTTATATCTTGCAACAGCAATAGGAATTACTATTGATGAAAGTACTGATATTTCTACAGAATCTCATATTATCATTTATGTTAAATATCTTATTAATGGTATTATTAAAATACGATTTTTAAGCTTGCTACAAATTGAGACTAATGATGCAAAATCAATTTATAATGCTATAATTAATCTATTTGTTACTAGAAGTAAGTATTTTTTTTTTTTTTGGTGATCTTCTCTGTTATTTTATTAAGAATAAGCTAATATAAGCTACAAAGTAAAATGCTATATTATTTACAACAATTATTTTTCTAAAACTATTCAGGACTTATTCAGCTATTTTAAAGTATCTAAGTATGATTAGCTGTAGCAACTATTTCTTTTGTAGAAGCTCATATCTATATAAATAGATATCAAGTTTCTAGTTAACAAAAGGTTGTTACTAGCCTATATCAAGAATCATTTATTTTGTTTTAAACTGTAACCATCCTTCCTTACTACCTGTTCTAACCTATCTATCAACTTTACTAAAAGTTTTTTTTTGTGTTCTTGCTTCTTTTTCATTTTTTGATTCTTTTTCTGTAGCTAAAGAAGTTATATTTTCTTTGTTCTCTCTCTTTGTTCTATTTTTTTCTTTTTTCTTTTTCTTCTTTATTAATATGTTATTCTTTTTCTCCTATTCTGCTATAATTTTATATTAGAACTTCTATAGACGTTCATAAAAACAGGTCTAAAAATATTCAATAAAGCTTGTAAAAATTCTGCTTGTTTTGTCTTTGGATTAAGTTATTCTGCTCATATCTGCAAGCTGTCTTCTATTTGTAAACTCTCTAAGATGCATCTTTCTAAGTTTTAACCTTTCTTTAGGTTCTTCTCATATAAAGCTTCTCTTAGTAATACTTCTTTAAGTGATAGATCTAGTTTTATTAAGGCTTCTAATCTAGTAAGCAACAAAGTTTCTTTCTTTAGATCGTTTTAAATTTTTTGATATATTTCACATTTAGCCAGATAATATATTATCATATCTTTTCTAAAACAAGCTATACATCTGCTAATTTTGTATAATTTGGAATTTCAAAGATAGCAAACATCTTTAGTCAGTAAGATGCTATTTATATATTTGATACAGAACAATAGTACTTTGCTTTTTTTGAGACTTATATACTTTTTCCTTTGTAATTTCTTAAGTGCTTCCTATATGTTTTTTCAGTTTAGTTCAGTATTACTGTTAGTTTTAGGATTTGGTACTATGATTATAACTATTTTGTTTAAGGGTAGGGGGTATGTAGATCATTTTTTATATGATCATCATGATAAATTAAAATTTTAGTAAAAATTTGAAACATGCTACTAATAAAACTTTTTATAGTTTTATT